GTATTCAGTTTTCATCTGAGCAGCTAATTTTTCAAGACTCCAGAGCAGGTTTTTCTCCTGGATGGCCGGGGAGGGGGGAGCAACTTTGGGGAGTGATGCGATCTGACGGCTCAGACCAAGCGGGTTCTGCTGCTTCCCTGCAGCCGTGGGCAGCCTGCTCTCCGTGTGGCTTCTCTGCTGGGAATCTGCATTGTCCCCACAGGCGTTGTCCTTCCCCCTCAGTCGTCTGTTCTTTGAAGGCGTCCTTCCTTTCACGAGCTTGTCTTGGGAAATTTTAAAGCGTTTTGTGCTTTCTTTACTACCTTTATCGGTGTCCTACTTTATATTAGAATTACTTCTTGATTTGTTTTATCCCCCTCCCCTGCATTTCCCACTGCAGCATGAAGGCTGTTGCTCTGTTAATGTCTTCCACACACAGTAGATGATCCAAAATACTTGACATCAGTATCTTAACAAAGCACTTCCAGTCATTCCTAAGCTAGGGGTTTCCACCTCTGTGCCAGGAGCTCTGGCCTCTGTGAGAAGATTCGGGCTTACGCCCTGGACTCCAGAGCAAATAGCCAGACCTCGGCATGTCAGTCTCCTCTCAGTCTGCGGGCCCCACGTGTCATGGGGACAAGATGCTCGCACGACACCAGTCCAGGGTTATTCTGAGGGGAGGAGGTTCTGGAAGTGTATGTTTTAAAGTTGTTGCACAGTTTATCCTTGTTTTAAGAATTTTAATAAGAAAAGAATCTTAATTCTGAAAAATATAAGTTCTTTTCAATTGCTAGAAATCTTAAAAACAAGTCAAGCTTTTCATAGTGAGATCAGAGGTGGTTTTTATTTTCATATTCGTGCTTTTGTTGACCCTAAATTTTCTACAGAGGAAATATAATAGTTTCATCAAGATACAGAGGTATTTCAAAGGTAATAGGAAATATTTCTTCAGTATTTGGGAAGGTCGTTCTGATACTGAATTCAGAGGATTTGGGCTTAATCCTTAATCTAAGGATAATCCCAATGCTGCATAAAAGCCAAATTTCCACTCCACTCCTTAGGCATTTTTTTTTTTTTAAGATTTTTATTGGGGAATTGGGGTAAGGAGAACAGACACGTTGCTGTCCTTTTGTTCTTCTGTCTAGTTGTGGAGGACGCTGCTTCACTGGCCCAAGTTGGCACCATCATTGCGCTCTTCCCGGGCGAGGCGGATCAGTCGCCGGCTGCTGGCCGCCCGCTCACTGCGGCTGCTGGCCGCTCACGCTGGCTGCTGGCTACATATGGTAGCCCATGGCAACCCACTGCCACAGGGGCTGCAGCCTACGCCGTCACCGGCGACTCACGGCTGAGCTGCTGTTCAGCATCTTAGCTGTAGAGGGCAGTATCACTGGCCCTCATATGTGGGATCCGAACCGGGGCCCTCTGGCGTTCCAAGCCAGTTCTTAACCATCGCGCCACTCGGCCAGCCCTCCTTAGGCATTTTTAGCGTGGGTTGTGTCTTTCCTGTATGTGGTCAGCTTTCTGTTGCAAATAGGTATCCATATAGTCCTGCTGGCCTTTCTTTTTCAAACGTTTGCCTCAGGTCTGAAGGTGGCCCATTTGTAGCTTCTGGGCGTAACCAGAACCTTGTGCTTGTAGCTCAGGTGAGGGACGGTCTGTGCGAATTTCAAGACAACTCAGGACAGCTCCGTGGCACTTAGCTTCGGTGCTCTGGCCTGTCGGCTGACATTTGGCCTGTGCTCTTGCTCTCCTCCCACTGTTTTGCTCAAATCTCTCCCTTTCCCGTTTAAAATGGCAAAGACTTTTGTACATGCGCTCTCTTTGACACGTGAACTGGAGGATCTTGGCAGTCCAGTCAGATTCATTTGAGGCCATGTATCAAAGACTCTGAATTGAGGGCACCAGCACATTAGAAGCACACCTTTACCTTTAAATCAAGGGGAGAAAAAGCAGCGACCCCATTTCCTTCTAGATGCAGAAAAAACTGATCAATAGGAAGCTGCAGAGCCCACGCCCTAAAGCTTATCTGACTATTGAGTCTGATTCTCTGGCCTTAAGTCGGTACTTGCTGAGAGGGCTAATAATTTGCCTTTTAATAAAGTTGCTGACCAGTTTAGACTCCTTTGCTAGGTAACCTAGTGCAGATTCTTGGAGAAGTGAAAGGTTTTTCTGATTAGTTTTTATTTAATCATAAGAAGATTAAAACTCCTACCATGTGAAAACAGGTGCCTTTCTTTACATTGTCCTTACTTCAAGGCCTCTAAGACCAGAATATCAGTGTCTTCCTAATGGTTTCGTTGTGTTTTTAGCGCAGGCTTTTATATAGTAGATGAGGGGGACTTACTGTAAGTTTTCAAATAGCCTTTCTGTACCTACTTGCATAGCCACCTGTTTCCTGCACATTGGCCACAACTCTCATTTGAAAAATGGGGTGACAACTTGGGACCCATATAACAGCTGGTAGGAATTCTAAATGTCTTTCAGATTTCCGGGGTGTATTTGTGCCGTGGGAATAGATAGGAGAGATAATCTGTACGTGGGCAGAGGGGAGAGAATTGGAGGCTAACAGGGCCTTTTCCTACGAGGGCCATGACCAAAATCTTTCTCAGAATCTTCCAGGTAAGTCTCCTGACATTTCAGCCATCTGGCTTGTCCACAGCACGATAAGCTATTGTGAATACAGGTCTAGAAATTGCCTTTAGCCAGGATTTTAAAGTCCCTACTGTGTGTCAGGAACTGTGCTAAACGGACCAGATACACAAGAGGCTTCCCTTCTTCAAAGAGTTAGAAAGACTCTGCCATTAAAAAGTCAGCAGTTGGGTTGTTCAGTGTTGTGTTCGGTGTCCTGAGGAAGATGGAGAGGATGCTTTGGGGGACGGTGGCATGGAAGGCTTTGGAATAGGTACTGTTTGAATGGAAGCCTAATGGGTAGGTGGGGCTCTGCATCTTTTTTTGTGCCATGGGTCCCTGTGGTTGCCTAGTGAGGTCTGATATTCCCTTTAAAATACATAAAATAAATACAATTACACAGGAAATCTGTTATTGAGTCCCTATCAAAACATTGAAAAATAAGTGTGTGATTAATAATATAAGTGTTTCTTTATGAATACATTAAATACCAAGATCTAATGGCAATCTAAAAACTACTGTGATTTCAAGTCATGATGACCGTAACCAATAAATCAAGATCTCTGCAGCCACTATGGTGTGACATGAAAATATCTGCTTTCTGTTGGTGATGAATTTCTAGGTACCCCTCATACTAGTGGTGGTTTGCTGTCTCCATTCATAATCGAAGGAAACGCTAAATTCCAATTAGATGTTAGTGAAAATGAAGGTGTAACATCCTCGCCTCCAAGTTCACAGACGCTGGCAATCCTATCCGTGGTCCCCTGGTTAGCTGCTGGGTTAGATGGGGCCAGCCAGGCAGCTGCATCCCTGGGAGAGAGGAGAGGAAGGCCAGGCCGTAAAGGAGCGGAGCTTGCCTCAGACTGAGAACTCCAGAACGTTAGGGTTCAAGGTGCCCCGAGTGTGAAGCAGGGAAGACTCAACAGCTACCGGATGAAGCTAGGAGCACTGTGTGAGACACAGCTGTGAAAATGCTGACACTGAGACGTGAGCAAGGTGTGAAAGAATTCTGGGGTGTTTTTAGGGGTGACTGGGATTGTGGTTAAAATTAAACATCTTATCTTTTAGAAATATGTAAATAGGTATACTTAAGATGTCTTAGATTTGCCTTAAAACGATTGGAGAGTAGAATATAGATGTAACAAGACTGCCTGTGTGTTGATAATTGTTGGAACTGGATGATGGGTTTATGGGGTTTCAGTAAACCATTTGTCTCTGCGTTTGTATATATTGGAAATTATCTACATAGAAAGTTTAAACATGCAGTGGATAAGATTAGCCATTTGTAGAGAGTCAGCATTTGAGTGGACTGAGAAGGTAGGAAGGCGCGCTCATCGTTAGGGTCACTAGTAGGAACTTTCAGGGAAGGATGACTGGAAGGACATACCTACACCCGACATGGTAAAGAAGGCTGCTGGGATCAGTTCCTGTCCAGCCCGATGGCGGCAAATAACGGCAACCAAACTAACGCCTAAGGAGGGAACAGCAAGACTGAGCTTAAGAATTATTGTTTGTTCAGCATGAAAAAGAAATATCTTTTCATTTTCTTATATTGATTACATGTTGATATTATAACATTTTGGATATTTTGCATTATTAAAATTAATTTTATCTTTTTACCTTAATGTGGGTAACGTAAAATACATATGTGGCTCACATTACGTTTCTGTTGGACAGCATTGCTGTATGGGAACTTCTTTTTTTTAATTTTTTTTTTAGTTTTCAATTACAGTTGACATTAATATTATATTAGTCTCAGGTGTACAGCATAGTGGTTAGACATTTGTATTTACATTGCGTTGTCGGAAAAGTCATGATGTATTTTTTTCTGTTTTTCGTTGCCAAAATGCGTCATTACTTTTCCAACAACCCAACATAACTTACGAAGTGATCCCCCTGACTAGTCCAGTCCCCACCTGGCACTATGCGGAGTTAGTACAGCATTACTGACTCTGCTCCCTGTGCTGTTCTTGCCACCCCGGGACTGTTCTGTAACTGGCAATGTGTGCTTCCTAATCCCTTCCCCGTTTCGGTGCCTGGAGGAGGCAGGACGCCCCATGCCCTCCCCACGCCGTGCGTCTCTTCCGTTTGGCTGTTCCTGACTTGCGTCCTTTATAAATAAACCAGTGAATGGAAGTGAAGCGCTTTCCTGAGTTCTGTGAGCTGTGCTAGTGAATTACTGAGCCTGAGGGGAGGGCCTGGGAACCCCCACATTGCAGCTGGCCGGCTGGAAGTACAGGTGGCCTGGGCCTTGGACCCGGCACGTGGGGTGGGATCATTGTGGGACGGAGCCCTCACGGCCTGCACGGCAGGACGCCCAGTGGTGCTGGCACGCGCGGGTGTCGTGTCTGTTTAATGTGTAACTAACTGGCCACAACCACCTTCTGTTACAGCACCTGAGCAAGCAGGTGGAGCTTCTGCGGCAGGTGAACGAGCAGCACGCGAAGGTCTACGAGCAGCTAGACGTCACAGCAAGGGAGCTGGAAGAGACCAACCAAAAGCTCGTTGCTGACAGCAAGGCCTCACAGCAAAAGATCCTGAGGTGAGCAGAGCCCACTGAGGTGGCCCTGGGCAGGGTCATTCAGTGGAGAACAGACTGGCACAGACCAGAACAGGGATGTCGTGGGTTCGGTCAGTATGGGGTAAGGTTGAAGTTAGTGCTTTAGGAAGAAAAGAGAGGAAGGAGATGTCCTTTCCCATTAAGAAAGCGCAGTTGGAGTGGCCAGCAGCTAATCTTGCCTCGCTGCCTATGCCCTCAATGTCATGTGACAAGCAACAGTTGCCCCTGTCTGTCTGTCCCTCACAGCCTGACCGAGACCATCGAGTGCCTGCAGGCCCGCATCGATCACCTCCAGAGCCAGGTGGATGAGCTGAGGTCGGTCCAGCAGAGGAGGAGCCAGGGAAAGAGTGACCAGGACAGACCTGCGCCCAGCTGCTCGCGTCGGAAGGAGCTGTACGACCTGCGCCAGTAAGCGCCGGGGAGCCCTCGTGCACTGCCACAGGCGGCCTGTCCCCCCACCCCCAAATGCATTCACTGTCCATCTAAGAAACGCCTCTGGCTACGAACCAAACCGCTTACCGTAACACAGGTTGCAGAGCTCCTGGCCACCAGTTATTCTGTTAAAAACTCGTTTTCTACAGGCTTGGGGCATTTATTTCCATGCTTTTAACGTGTTAGATCTTAGTTTAAAATAAGATGCAGCACTTCTGATAGACTACGGATTTAGGGGTTGCATTTCACATTAACATGAAGAACTGAAATTTCAGTAAAACAAAAATCCGGGTGACCTGGAGATTTCTGCCTACAGAAATGCCTTCACCATTTAGAGTTACGAGGTTGACTTTTTACTTAAGGGTGTTTGTCGAGCGCCTGTCACGTGGCAGGTGCTGTGCGGACACGAGTGGCGAGCACACACACACACCTGCAGGCCCTCGTGGGGCTTTCTGGCCTATGAGAGGCGACGAGCAGATCGCTACACAGATAAGGACAGTGACAAGCTGCTGAGGACCCTGCCTGGGAGGCCAGCTCTCGTGTGGAGGTGGTTACCCTTGGCTGTTCATCAGGTCACCTGCAGTCTTTGCAAATAGTTCCCGAGGTTCCCTCCGGCCTCCGGCAGAATCCCTGAACATGGGCAGAAGTGCCAGGTGACTCTGACGTCACTGCAGCAGTGGCTGTCAAGCTTGGTCTGAGTCACACGCAGGGACAGCTGGAAAACCCCCGAGTCCGAGCGGCAGACCAGAATCTTGGGGTGAGGCCCAGCCATCAACGGCCGTAAGACTGCCCAGGTGACCGTACTCTGCAGCCCAGGGTGGGGGACCCTTGGACCGTTCCGATGTCCTGGAAACAGAGCAGCCTTTGCGATTGGGTGTTTTGTAGCATTTTTAGTATTTATAAAAATTACGTTTTCTGACATGCTGTATTCACCCGCCTCACACGAGTAGTTTAATTGGGATTTGAGCCACTGCTCTCATGATAGACACGCAAAACATTGGTCCGTCACAGGTTCTCGACAGTATTTGGGTGGAGAACGTCATTACTGTTCTTGTGTTCTCAGTCGACCTGTGTGTCACGGATTCTTTCGCCATTTCCCCCAGGCTCTTCGTGTACGACCACGTGTTTGCCGGGAAGATCACGTCCTTGCCGAGCCAGCAGAGCCCCGAGGAAGAAGAAAACGCGCATCTGAAGAGGACGGTGGCGACGCTGCAGGCGCAGCTGGGCCTGGAGCGGCAGAAGCGGGCGACGCTGGAGGAGGAGTACGGGCTGGTGCTGGCGGAGAACAGTGAGCTGGAGCAGCAGCTGGGGGCCGCCGGCGCCTACCGGGCCCGCGCGCTGGAGCTGGAGGCCGAGGTGGCCGACATGCGGCTGGCGCTGCGGGCCGAGCGGCCGCCGCTGAGCGCGCTCGAGAGGCTGGTGCCCGACGCCCTGTTCGTCCCCTTCCGGGAGCCCAGCGCCAGCCTCCTGGAGGAGATGCTGCTGACGGGCGCCGAGGCCCTGCCGAGGCCCCTGCGACGCAGCAGCAGCGACACGGCGCTCGAGCGCGGCGCGGCGGTCGGTGACCTCGCGCAGAGCCACGAGGAGACGTGCGCCCGCAGGGCCCAGGCCGGGAGGCGGCGGGGCATGTGCCCGCTGCACGAGGTGGACACGCAGTACAGCGCCCTGCGGGAGAAGTACGACCAGCTGCTCCGCAAGTGCCAGCCGCCCGCCGGGGACGCACGGTCGCACAAGGCCGTGCAGACCTCCCGGGCTGCGGCCAGCGCTGCCGTCCCAGGCCCGGGCCCGGGCCCCGCGGAGCCCGCCGGCTCCCCCGCCAGCGCGCCGCCCCCGCCGCCACCCGAATACAAGGCGCTGTTTAAGGAGATCTTCAGCTGCATCGAGAAGTCCAAGCAGGAGATCGACGCGCAGAGAACCAAGTACCGCTCTGCGCCCTCCCACTCCTAAGGGCCCCACCCCCACCCCCAGCCGCATCACGCCGTCCACCCCGCGCTTGGCTTGCTCACGGGCTGTGCAGCGCGGGGAAAGTGCTGCTGGGGTCCGGCCCGCAGCCCGGCCTCCACTAAGCCCCTCAGGAGGTCCTGGGACAAGCTGGCCTCTGCCCGGTGCCCCGATGAGCCCACGGTCCCTGCAGGAGCCCCAGAAGCGGTGGAGGGCAGATGCGGGTCCCAGGTAGTGGCCGAGGCCCCCCAGTACCTGGTTCGGTGCGGAGTCCAGTGTGTCGGGGAGCCGCGAGCCACGGGGCCCGGGCCATTCCTGCCGCCCCTGGCCGGCTTCCGGAAACTGGACGTCGGACGCCGCCACACCGAGGACCTTAGCGCACGCCGCTGGGACCGAGCTCGTTCGGAAGAAGGATCCCTGAGGAGTGGCGTTAGCAAGTACCAGCGCCCTGAAGTCCACTCCCACTTGAACGGTGGCTGACAGGTCATCCTAACAGATGGCGACCCACCGAAAAGACCAGCTCCGCTGTGACCTGGGACGGGGTGGGCGGCTCAGCGTGCCCCCAAGGCCTCGCCACTGGTGTCGTGGTCACGCAGCGAGTGCGCACGGCTTCCCTTCTTTCATTCAGACGAAGGATGGCTGGCCTGTCTCCCGGGTCCTGTCACCCTGCAAACGGCGTGACTTGCAGACGTTGCTACCTGCTGCTTATTAAACAGTATTGACGTTCCGACTGGAAAAACGCTCCCCTGCATACTTTTAATTTAAAACTATTTAAGGGAACTGAGGTTCCAGTAATTGTATATATTTTTCTAAAATCAAATAAAACTACTTAGGAAAATGAACAAATGGATCTATTGCTTATTATTTTAATCTTAAGCCATTTCACTGTTACAACCAACTATTCTTTTTTCTTCCAATATCGCTAGGAAGATCTGATAGTGAATTTTTTTCCCCATTTTTTTTTTATAGCCAATTTTAATAGTTCATATTTTCCTTATAAATTGTCCAGTTCCTCTATAATTGTTCTCATTTTGCTGTCTACTCAGCCTTGTGCCATTTTCCTTCACTGGTTAACTGTTGGCATACTTTATATTCTTTTACCTCAATTTCTGTTTGTAACAATTATCTCCTATATTCCTTATATTTGTTTTTCTAGCTGCTTAACTCATCCCTTTGTTTATCTGTATAAAAATATTTAAGGCTAGGACTCTGAGCTCATGCTTTGAAATGTAGCTGGACACAATTCTGGTAACTTTTTACTTTTTCGGGCCCATGTATGTTAACAATTAGAACCAAGAACTTAATATACAATCAACCTGTTCAATACGTTACCAAGTATGAGACGTATTCCTTTTCTGGTGGTTGGGGTGGAGGGAAGAGGCGCAGACCAGACGGCAGAGGCTGCTGCCCGGAGCACAGGACAGCCAAGAGCCCGAGGCAGCAAAACGGCAGCTTGCTCACCTTTTCAGTCCTCCAAGGCGGCTCTGTCCAGCCAAGTCGCCACATGTGGCCACTGGGCACATAAACTGGGTAGTCCAAACTGACAACGTTATAAGTATAAGGTCCCAGATTTTGAAAACTAGTACAAAGAATGTAGCATATTGCATGCTGATGTTTTAGCTATCTCGGGCTAATTATTAAAATGTAAGCCGCTTCTTTTCACTATCCGGTGTCTATGAGGAAATCCTGACGTGTGACAGGCAGCGCTGTCCTCACGAGTCCTCCCTCCCTCCCCGCTGATGTGCACGCAGACACCACCACCATCATGGCAGGTTAGTGTTCGCATTTATTTTAAAAATACACAAAATAGAAATTCTTTACATCAAAGTGTGATAACCTCACTTATACATTGTTCCATACTTACCTGGTTCTGTTTGCATCCTTATGCAAACATTAAGAATAGATGGATTTGACTGATTTTTTTGCTATGGTTCATGTAAACAGTTGAGACTGCTACATAAAGTAGGTTGTTCTAAAAAGTAAAGTGGCCACAGAAACCCGACAGTAAAACAATTCAATTTGGTTTGTTTAATGAAGTTGGCAGAAGTCTTAGCAGCTAGATGATCAAAGACTAAATATTGGCTTCTAGGCATTTTAAATATTAAAAACCTTGAGGTTTTCTTCATCTTGTAAACACAACTTAGACCTTGTTGGCATTAAGTTTGAAAAGTGAACTATTAAACCGTGATTTTCATCATCCTGCCCATGTCAATATACACTCTATTATGAGAATGAAACCAGGTAATAAGCAAAATACATCAGGAATCTCAAACTGGACTGCAGAGGCCCCGCTGGTCTCTTCAGGGAGCGATGCGACTTAAGCGGCGCCTGCACGGGCTGGCTGGCTGTGGTCCCCTGTCCCCGGGATAGTGACGCCACAGGCCACGAGGTGGGCAGTCGCTCTTGCTCCGTGTCTTTTGAGGCAGCTGAGACGCTCCTTCCGCCTCCACTGGCCTTCCTTGGGCTTAGAGTCGTTGGGTTACAGGTTTGGACTATTGTCAAGACTGTACTGTCCCTTTAAGGTACCACATGCCACCATAGCTTACACAGCAGTCCTACGGATGGAGAGAGAAACATGGTGAGGGCAGAATTCGGCAGGGAAGGTGGCTCCTGTGCTCTGTGCAGTGTCACGAGCCGCCTGCTCTCTCCAGGGTTTGGGCCTCAGACCCCGCTTTCCTCTCCTGGGGTGGGGGGGGGGTCTTAAGAGTAAAGAACTATAAATGATGTACTTTATAAACACAAGATACAAAAACTGAATAGCTGGCCAGAGCAAAGGGGCTTCAGAAATCGCCCTGCTCTGCATGGCCAGGGATGTCCATGGTGACAGAGCCGAGCACACGGTACCTGCCATCAGCTTTCCGTGTCCCAGTGTTTCTGCAAACGTGGCATTTGGACCGCAGCCGATTCACAGAAACATGACAGGTACTGATACACTTAAGTACTTGCACATGTGCTAAGCAGAGTAGTTTACATTTTTTAACTTAATATATTCCTTCGTGTTCTACTGAAAGTTAAGTAGTGCCACGAGTTTGTAGGAGGCGATGGCAGAAGTCACAGCAGTGGGACAGGCTTCACGGGGTGGTCAGGACTCCAGGCCCTGCCACAGCAGAGGATGGGGACACTGACCCACTAGCCCACTTTCTGAGTGGAGCCTACATCTTGTCACATTAGGCCTTCTGCATATGCGCACCACTGCCCAGGGTCAGTGGCTGAAGACCTGATTGGCGACTGAGTGGCAGGAAAGGCACCAGACATCAGCCTCCAGCTCAACCGGGTACGGGGAGCCGGCACAGGCCGCTCGTGCTCAAGCTCGTGGGCAGCAGAAGCCTCTGGCTGCTGCAAGCAGAACAGACGTACCTTTAGCACTTTATCCACCTCCTGTTTACTCAGATCTTCTCCACACTCTTGAGTCAAGCGAGACTGGATCATGTTCCGGCGAACACGGTAATTTTTGGAGAAAATTTCGAGCAAAACCTGTCGGTGCTTTAGGAGCAAAAACATGTTTTGGGGTTTTTTTGGGTTTCTATTTTTGTTTTTTATGGGAAGCAGTCACCTAAAGAGAAATATCCCCACACCAGAAAGCCATGGGCCTAACTAACGCCACACTGCAGTCTGGAATAAAGGTCCTTGCCCAGAATTGTGGGGGCTCCTGAGACCCCAATAAAATGAGTCCAAATGAAGGGATGTGCCCACAGACAAGGGCAGTTGGACATACTTCTGCATAATAAGGAGTGCTAGCCGAGGTAGCAGCGGGGACAGCCACCATCTAAACTGCAGGAAGACAGGGAGGGGAGTGGCTTCAAGTCTCAATACTCGGACATCACACGGCATCCATGAAACGCATTTCATTCCCAAATGAAAATTAAACAGAAAGGCTAGAAGACAGCTGAAATCCCCCCTAAAGCAGAAAAGGCAATGAGAGAATTTGGTCCAGTATGTCCACAACAGGGAAAGAAATGACCAAGTCTACAGAATTTCCTCAGTGATCTAGCTCTAAGTTCCTGACCCACAGGGTCCATCTGGGCCTGCACTGACGTACAACCCACGGGATAGGGACCAAGAGGCGGAATGGCACTGGACAACAACTCGGTCTGAAAGCTTCAATACTGTGGAACATGCCTAAATGCAGAGGGAAAATTACTTGCCCTGTAAAACTCTAGCCCCAGACAAACAACACCTGAGGGCCAAAGAAAGCCACTTTAAGACATGCAAGAATGGGGCCGACCGAGTGGCACGTTGGTTAAGAGTTGGCTTGGGACACCAGCTCTGAGCAGCAGGGCCCCGGTTCGGATCCCACAAGAGGGCCAGTGACACTGCCTTCTACAGCTAAGATGCTGAACAACAGCTTGACCTGGCATGGCGTAGCCTGCAGCGCCTGCTGCAGTGGGCTGCCATAAGCTACCATGTGTGGCCGGCAGCCAGCATGAGTGGCCGGCAGCCGGTGTGAGCCGCCAAGAGCCGCCGTGAGTGGCCGTCCAGATGCCGGCGACCAATCTGCCTCGCCCGGGAAGAGCGCAATGATAATACCAACATGGGCCAGTGAAGCAACGTCCTCCACAACTAGACTGAAGAACAAAAGGACAGCAACTTGTCTGTTCCCCTTCCCTGATTCCCCAGTACTGTTCTCCTTCCCCAATTCCCCAATAAAATCTTAAAAAAAAAAAAAAAAGACATGCAAGAATGCAGCCACTCTTCTCTGCCCTAGAAGCGGAAATTATTCTAGGAGGGAGATGGGAGATTCCGCAAACCAGCACCGAGCACAGCCGGTCCTGCTGGGGCGCCTCCCGGGAATCCCAGCGAGGCTGACTAGGCTACAGACGCTGATGTCTGTTCTGAAAACCGTGCAAGTGAAAAGAGGAGGTAGCAGGACAGAGAAATGGGATCAGGGCCTCTGACGGATGTGTCGCTGTAGCACTGTCACAGCACCGCTGAGCGCTCTGCCCTCATCCACTAGCACATCCAACAGCAGAGGAGGCTTGCTCTTGGGGGCACCTGCTGCTAACTAAAAAGTGACAGCCTCCGAGAAGTGGGATGCGGGGCGGGCATGGCAGGAGACGGGTGTCCCAGGAGCATTCAGTCTGATTTGGTTTTATAAACATGCACTTACTACTTCTTTTCTCAGAGTGCTCCGGGAGCAGGAAACCCAGATGCTGCCTCTTCTGGCCAGAGCACAGAGGAGCCCAGGGATGCTGCCAGGCTCCTCACACCCTCTCCTCCCCCTCCCTCCAGGCCGCCAGTCAGTCCCCGAGATGCAAACAGGAGCCAAGAACTCAGCGGGGCCTCGTGCACACTCTCCCCCCACACCTTCGGCGTTTTCACAATTAACCCTTAATTTTTACAATTCATTCAAGTTCATGACCTAGGGAACTCGTCCGGCCCTCAGGGACTGTGACGGAGCTGAACACACGCCATGCTGCCGGTTCAGTTCACGTTGCGTCTGCTGGAGCCAGTGCCCCTTCCAGGGGGAAACCACCACTCTCTCTAACTGAAAACCCAGCCCCCAGCCCTGAGAAGGAGTGCGTAGCTTGCCACCGCTGAGGCCACCTGAGAGATGGCCCACCGTGGGTCCGCCAGCCAGGGGGCGTCAGAATCATCTAGAAAGCTCTGTCAAGCTGCCAGTGCGTAGGGCACTGCCCTATTCCTAGTGGACTGATTTCAGGGCCTGGGGGCCAGGCCTCGGCACTGTTTGTAAAAGGTGACTCACGCAGCGGCCCAGACTGGCATTTGGACTCGAACTACTGGCACCTCCTGTCTGTTTGACAGACATGGAGCCACAATATTTAAAGTCGGGGGTGTCTGAACTGTGACTGTGTGTGTTGGGTCACCCCTCCGGGAACGGTCACCTTACCTGATCACTCGTGTCCCCAGACTCCCAGAGGGCGAACACCTTCTGCTCCTCCGGGCAAGCCGCCGTCTGTGGGGGAAACTGAGCAAGGCCCAGGCGTGAGCCGGGGGCCTGTCTCCACCCCAGGACCCGCCCAGCTGGCACCTCCCAGCTCCTGCCACTCACTAGCTCTGTGGCCACAAAACTGTGTCTGTCTCATCACCATGGGGAGGGGGCCAGCCAGCCACCCCCACCAGAGCCTTAGCGGGCTGCAATGACAGGAGCGGGACACGCCCAGCCTGAAGCCCGCGGCGTGATCAGTAAGGGGAGGCGAGCTCTTCTGCTTTTCCCACTCGCCTGGCACCAGCACCCCCTAACTCCCTGGGGGCTCCCTTCAGTCCCTTCACACAGGGCCGTGTCAGAATGAGTTCAAGGCCCTGCCCAACTCCCAAGCAGCCCACGCCACTGGGTACAGCAGGGTCTGGATGTGGCCCAGAAAGGTGGCAGCCGCGGCTCCAGGACCCTGGAGCAGGGAAGGGAGGAAGGCAGCGCCTGGCACAGGGGGTTTGAGTCTCGGTGCCACAACTCAGGTAACGGTCACGACCCCGCCAAGGCCCAGGGGTCCGCACACAGTCTCAATGGATCGTTAGAAAGCAGACAGGTGGTAAGCGTCGCTGGCCCCCGCCCTCCATCAGGACAGTCACTAGCCACCGTCACCAGCTAAGCAGCAGCAGGACGAGCCCACTCGCTCGCCCTGGGCTCCGGCGCCTCATGTGAAAAGTGAGGCCGGACACATCTGAGGTCTCCCACCTCACACGCGACTATGACCTGGTCCCCACGTCAGGATCACAGGGAGGAGGGCTGACGGGACAGGTGCAGAGACGACCACCGCATCCCCAACACCAGCCCTACCATGAGGAGGACGCACGGCAGGAGCCGTGCCTGGGGGGACGGGCGGTACCCCATGTCCCTCGCCTGTCGGCCGGGACAGCCCAGCTCATGCCAGGCAGGCACCCCTCTGCTGCCTGGCCCAGCTCAGAGAAAGGCGAGCCCGCAGGCAACGACCCGTTGGCGGGGTGGGCAAGGGTGGCGCCCTCCGTAGGAGACCCCACCAAGGAGGCTGCCTGCCACCAGGGCCAGGCCCCCCAGGACAGCCCAGCAGCGCGGGGTCCAGGACCTCTTTGTCCTGGCTTGTTTCTCACGTGCAGGGACCAAGGCTGCACGTGCCTCTGACCCTGCACTGCACACACTTGTGCTCGCTTAACCTCACCCTGTCTGCTGCCAGGTCTGCGCAGAGACGGGGCGAATGCCGAAGCCCCCCCGAGACCAGCTGGCACTGTCCACGCCCGACTAGGGGAAGTACTTGGTCTGCAACGCACGCTCTGCCACATTTCCTCCACTCTGGGGCCCCGGCGGTGACAGGACAAGCAGCCTGGGGTGTGGGTGGCACACCTTGCCCCCCACAGGTCCACCCCAGAAAGGCTAATGCAGCCTCTGGAGCCGGGCACAGCCGGGGGCTCTGGGCACAGGCGCGGCCCGTCTGAGCTGAAAGGATGAGGCTCAGCCTCCAGCCCTGTCACCTCCCGGCCCCTGAGCCTTCCACAGGCTCCTCTCACTTCATCTGCGCGTTTCAAAGATCAATGACAAGAAACAGCCATTTTTCCTGAAACATGGCACAGCTGATGGGGACGAGTCGCAGTGCTGATGGGGAGCTAAACCCATCAGGCGCCCACTGCAGAACAGGGTGCAGAGCGCGAGGCTGGGCGGCCCAAGGCCAACGGTCCTCTCAAGTCCCCACACCCCGTGCAGGCTCCCCCAAAGCCGCAGGGCTCAGGCCACCAGCGACCAGGCCCCTGTCCGGGCCCACGGGCTCCACTCACAGGCACGAGGATCTGCTTGCAGCCGGCAGCCAGCACGGTGTCCTGCAGCATGCGGTCCGAGATGCCGCTGAAGAGCGTGTGGCCGGGGGGCAGGCTGGCCAGGTGCAGGTTGAAGAGGCGCTTCAGCTCGCTCAGCGTGAGCACAAACTGTCTCTGGAAGGTGGCCTCCACGAAGGCCCTCAGCTCCCGGGCCACCGGGGTGCTGGCGCAGCCGGGGGGCGGGTGCCCGTTGAAGCTGTCCCCGCCTGCGGGCCGCCCGGCGGGCAGCCCATTGGCCAGCCTGCTGTGGAGGCCCCCGCTGGGCGAGGTGTCCATGGCCTCGTCCTCCTCTCCCTCCTCACTCAGGGGCTCCTCCTTGACCCGGACGCTGGGCAGGACCGCGGACGCCCGGACCTGCTCCTTCCTCCGCTGCAGCTCCCGTTCCAGCAGCGTGTGGTTCTGCTGGGCTCTGCTCTTGGCCACTTGGACCCGCTGGTCCCCAGACACCAGCCCGGCAGGCCCTGTAGGGAGACCGCGCTGCTCAGGAGGGTGCAGAGATGGGCAGGGCCAGCGACAAAGGCCAGGCCTCTCCACCCCGGGACAATCCCACCCGGCAGGGCCACCCTGCTGTCCACAGCAAGGGCCGGGAAAACAGCAGGCCCAGCCGGACCTCACCCCCACCAAGCCAGGATGGGTGGCTGCTGAGCTGCCAGCACCGCCTCCTGTCCCCCGCCACCCCCCTCCTGCCGACCCATGAAGGTGCAAGGGTTTCAGGGCCCTGGGACCCGACACAGCCCTTGAGCACAAAACCGAGTCCCTGAGGCGGAGGCTTTGCCACTGAACAAGCCTGGGGCTGACGTACAGGGCAGGGGAAGTGGGCCAGGGAGGGTGGCCGGCAGTGACAGCATACACCCCGGCCGTCCCCAGGCAGGGCCCTCGCACACCTGACTGTCCCTCCGGCTTCTTTGGCAAGGTTTCCTTCACAAGGTTATAGACTTTCTCTAATCTGAAAAGAAGAGGAATTACAATTCTGACCCACGTCACACGTCATCTGCCTCAGCGCTGCATCACCCCCACGCCCAGGGACAGCCTGGGCACCGCAGATGCCACGTGCTGGGGGCCCCGACCCGCTGGGAGCCCCGGGGTGAGGTGGGGAGTACAGCCCTCGCCTGGCTCCTGCTCCGGGAGGAAATGGCTGTGCCAGGCCTGCCCGCCGGCGGAGGAGGGGGCACGTGGCCCTGAGTCTGCCCTCACCGCCCCACCCACGCAGCCTGGCCGCACCCCTGGGGGCAGGGTGTCTGGTGGCCGGGGCCCCGCCCGCCCGCAGGCTCGTACTTGGCCTGGATGCCTGTCCACAGCATGTGCTGCCGCTGGACCACGTCCGGGTGCTTCCTGATGAACTCGCCGTCGCAGGGCATCAGGAACTCCCAGCCCTTGTTGAT